TCCACCTGTCAGGAAAGTGCGCTCACAGCCTTGCAGAAAACAACTGCCACTTGCCAGTAGGACTCTCAAAATCTTCTGGAGTGATCTGCGGTCCAATATTTTCTCTGTCTCAATGTTCTCTATCTCCATGCCAGTCTGAAATCCTATGGGAATCAAAGCCATCAGCTTCTTTCTTCGCTCTTGTGAAAGTTTCTTCGTGTTCAGATATGACGGGTTGATTGCTGTTGGAACCCTGCACAGGCGAACGGTTTTCTCTCGAACCAAATCTTGGATCTACAAATTGCGGATGTGAATGCGCTTTAGCTTTCCTTGTCCGGCTCGCTGCATTATGCCTCTAGCTGCCGAGCTGTCGCTGTATGCTGTCATCTGCACATCTTCTCCCAACAGAAATTTCAACAAACTGCCAACGTGCAAAAGTTCTGCTATGCCACTGCAACTTGCATAGAGTTCTGATTCTGCACTTGATAGTTCTATTGAGCTTTGCAGCTTGCACGAGGAAATCAAAAGATTGCCGTTCATGAAAATCATGTAGGATGTCGTCGACTTTCTTGAGACCTTGCATCCTGCCCAATTGGCATCTGTGAATGCTTCTAAGTTGAAGCGTTGCCTGTCTTGCCTGTTACTCCACCCTGGGTAGTCCCAATGGTCACTGGTGATTTGATGCATCTTGGTTTGCATCAGCAAGACTCCTGCTTCTTGTGTTCCGTTGAGGTAGCTTGCCAGGTGTCGTAGTGCTGCGAAAGCTAACTTTGTTCCACCTGCCATGTATGTTGAAAGTGTCTTCAGTGCTTGCTGGATGTCTGGTCAGTCTTGCGCTATGTAAAGTGCTAGTCCGAGACCTGAACGGAAAATCCGTTGTCCTTCGGTGTCAAGTCGTTCGTTGTCTTTGATGTCATCTTTGCTGTAAACTTCAAGGCTTGAATGGTGTGGCAGGCTCTTTGCCTTCTTTCCTTCTAGTCCTAGGAGTTCCACCATCTTCTTGATGTAGGAGGGATTCGGTTGGATGAAGATCCCCTGCCTTGCCAACATCACCTTCTTCTTCAAGTAGTACAACGTTTCCCCGCTGTTGAATCTGAAAGGTCCTTCTGAGTTCATCGTGAGATGTGTTCTCACCATCGTACTGAACCATGCCCACTCGTCTGGGTTGCACGTCACCAAAACATCGTCCACGTGGATCATCATGAAAATCTTTCTCTCCACATGTTTGAAAACTGTCGGCATACCTTTGTAGGATTGGAATCCTGCTTTCTCAACTAGTTCCTTGAAGTGTTCACTCCATCGGAGTGCTGCGTTTCTCTGGCCTGGTAGGCATTTCAGTAGTTTCCACTTCTCAGCCTTCAGCAATGGATATTGCCTGTCTCATCTTTCTCTCCAAGCTCTTGAACACATTGCGGCACAATCACTTCTACTAATTCTCGTTGTCGAACACTGAGGAATGCGTCCTTGATGTCTGCCACATAGAGCTGCAGGTCGAAGATTGCTCCCAAGACAATGATCAGCTTCATGGTAGAGCTTGCTGGTGTTGGACTGAATTGTGTTTCATCTGTATTGGATGTCCTCAACAATTCTACATCTTCTCTTCCACTTTCCACGGTATCGCCAGTCAAAAACACATGTCGTGTCCAAAATCAATGCTTCTTCTTTCTCATCGGGATCTGCCACTGCCAACACTTCTAGCTTCTGTAGCCTTTCAATCTCCTCAAGTGTTGCTTCTCGATCTAGCTGTGCTAGTATGTCATCGCTCACAGTTGGAGATCCATCTCGTTCTTCTCTGTCAATGAGTTTCTCCGAGAAGTCCATCTCAATGTCGAGTTGTGGATGTGACTCTTCATCAAACTGCCATTCTTCAAGTAGATCAGCTTGTTCATCTACATAGTGTTCTTGAACTTGTCGGATGTCTCCGGCGAATGTCGGACTGTACATTCCTGTCCGAGCTGTTTTTGCTGTGTGCTCTGAAGTCTCTTCGCTGGGTTTGTATGCCTTTGCTGGTTGTTCTTCGCTTCCTCCTTCAAGAGGATGTTTCTTCAGCTCATTTTGTTGCGATGTGTCCATTGCTCCTGAGCTGCTACTTCCTTTGTCTTCTAGAACTTCGAGTCGAGGCTTCTTTGCAACTTGTTCATCTTCTGCCTCATGTGCCCTGCCTGGGTCACTCGGAGTGTACTCCTCTTCGTCACTTCCTTCAGGATGTTGTTCATGGTAGTCCTGAACTGCCTTATCATCTGGATCTTCATTGGTTGGATGGAAAACTGGGTCTGGAGGTTGTAGTTCTCTCAACTTGACCCTCATCATTCCATGTGTCGCCACCTTCTTCAAAGTCTCTGGAGTAATCGTGAGGCTAATAAGTAGCTCCTTGTCATACTCTTTGGCGCAAAGTCGAACTGCTCGTGTTCTTACCAGTCTCTCTCCTTCAAATGCCACTATGTCTTGATCTGCTCCATCTTTGTAAAGCCAAACTCCTCTGAGCCACCTTCGCTCATACTTGGATCTGTGCTCGTCTAAAGAAAACATGAAACTTTTCTCAGAGCCGAACGCCTACACGGCGATCTTATGAGAGTCATCTCTCAAGTGAAACATGTTTCCAACTGCCATGCTTGTCATGACATATAGCGGAGAATTTCTTCACCCCGCCAAAGCTGTAGTCACTGAGTTTTCTCAAGTGACAAAGCTTTCCACAAGTCTTAGTGAAACAGTTCAGCAGCTGCACAGCGCTCAGCTGCATCATCAGCTTCCATCAGCTGCACCACTCGCTCCAGTAGGAGTGATCTCCATGGCGTGTTCCTCACAGCTTGATGGAGTGTTGTCGCTTGCCCATCCGTAGGTGACTGCTGCGTAGCCTTCTGGGTCAGAGGTTTGATCCATGCTTGCATCACTGTCACCAGGTGGGCGGTTATGGATGTAGCGGTGCCTGGCGTGCAAGAAGCGAATCACACGGGCACATGTTGCTTGGCCTTCGTTCATGACATCTCTTTGCATCGCCATGATCTCCCTGAGGCCACTTACCATCTGACTCCTGATGTCCTCATAGAAAACGTTCCTGGGATCAAGGTCTTCCATCTCCCTTCTCACTTTCCGGTTGAGCTTCATCAGGTATTGCTCGACGCCACGGACTTCCACAAGAAGTCTTGTCCTGTAGCTGTCGTACTCTTCCTCAGTGAGGTTGATGAAGTCATCTTCGCGCTCACCAAAGTCCAGGATCTGCTCCGTGTCAACGCTCATACTGTCATTGTCGTCTTCTGTGAGGTTATCCTCCTCTGCAAGTTCTTCATCACCATGAAGGGTTTGCGCACTTGTAGGCCTTGGTGCGAAGCTGCTAGGTGCAGGTCTACTGGCTGCGTTGACACCAAACACGTTGAAGGGCTCTTCATCGACTTCCATGTCATCACAGTCGTGAGGATACGGTTCTTCATCTTGAGGGTATCGGTGAGGTAGTCCGTGTTCTTCTGGTTCATGAGGTTCTCGATGAAGTTGTGGAACTTCTTCACGTCGGCTTTGTTCTTCAAGTAGAGCTTCATGAAAAGCTTCTTCTGCAAGTTGTCCACGACGAATGAACTTCTTGTAGAGGATCATCCCGATGATGCCAAGCATTGCAATGCCCATCTGGAAGAGTGTAATCCTCCACGTTTCCCACATAAAGTTATTGCTGCTTCCATTGCCATCTTCACATTGTCCTCCATCTTGACACCCTTGGAGCGCCATGCCACTGAGTAGGCTCAAGGCGTTCAATGCGCGGACTGCGCTTTGGTTCAACTGCCGCGCTTCCTCGCGGAGTATGGTGTCATCGGTCAACAAATGGTCGTTGTCCATGTCGTAGAAGCCAATCATTCTCATCAGGCTTACCAGCCGTTTGTGGCTCAATCTCTTGGCGCCTAGATCTGCAGGATTCTTGGGTCCAGGCACAGGCGCCACCTCCATCTGGCCTGTGGAAAGGTGTTGTTGAAGCCAAAGTACTCGGCAGCTGAGGCGCCGAATCTTTCCGACCCCTTTCCGAGCAATCACAGCTCGGGCCGCGGAGGAATCCATATACAGGATCATCCTCACCTTGGGGACTTTCAGAATCCATTCCAAAATCTTCTCAATCAGACATCCATCGCAAGCTCCCGAGGACGCTGCGTAGAGTTCACTCTCAGCAGAGCTCAAAGCTACTATCTTTTGCGTTCTGGAGCACGAGTGCAACAGGGCTCCTCCAAACATCAGACAAACAGAACTGATGCTTCGTCTGTTCTCTCGAGATGATGCCCAATCGGCATCTGTGAACACCTCCAGGACTGGGTCACTGTCATAGCCATATGAATGATGTAGTCCAGTTTGCGCATCAACGAAGCACCAGATGTTCGGCGCCAGCCAGGTACATGACGAGATGTTTGAGAATCATCCAGGCTTTGCCTGTAGGCTTGCTCATGTATGTTGCCAACAATCTGATAGAATGTTGACATTGGGGAAGGTCTGCCATCAGGCCATCAGGTACACGAGAATGCCAACCGCTCGTCTGAACTGCGTTGCCTGGTCAGAGTCCAACTCTTTGGAGTTGTGTGGCGCATCCATTTCCGCATGTCCTGCAAACTTCTTGGTGTGCTTGCCAGTGATGCCCACAATCTCGTAGAGCTGTGCGAAGTGCTTGGGATGTGGTTGAATCAGCATCATGTTATCCTTCAGGATATGAGTTCTCTTCAGAAAGGTCAGCTCGTCTCCGGGCTTGTCCATGGTTGAAACTGAGATCGAGTATTGCTTCTCCAGTATTGGGATCAGTGTGTGCTTGGCATAGTTACGAGAGCATACCACCAGGATGTGTCGTCCACGTGCACCAGCATGAAGCAGGTCTGGTCGTCATTCTTTAGGAGAGACGGGTACTCGGGCATTTCATGAATGTCGAGCTCGGTCCTGACGTAGTTGGTCAATGATTCATACCAGACTAAACTTCCGTCTCGCTGTCCAGGTAGGACTTTTGAAGGATGTGCATCTCTTTCTCACCGCGTGCGTTCACGGAGTGAACAATCGTTGGTTGTCGTTGGTCCACCGTGAGGAAGGCGTCCTTGACGTCGATGCTCATCATCAAGCCATTGGCCCCGTGCTTCAGGTAGAGCACGGGTAAGAGCTTGCTACTGATTGCAGAGCTTGCAGGACTGAAGAGGTCCTGTCTTTCAGGAGACAGCCACGCAAATTCTCGTGCCACGAATCGGCTCCTGCGGAGCCAAAACTTCTGGCCATTCTTGTCTTGTTTGTCCCGCCATGTGCGGACGAACTTTGTGCTCAGCATTTTGTACTCTACGTTGTCATCAGAAACGGCACATGCAAATTCCCCGCCAGCGCCATCACGCAAGACTCCAAGTGTCTTCAGGCGGGAAAGGGTCGAAAGGCTTGGACCTTCTGCAATCCTACCCTTGGGCCA